CTTGTGCAGGAATTGATCATTTACTAATTACCTTATCATGACTTTTCTTAAAATCATAATGCATTAAAACAATATTTTTAAGGTCACCTGAGTAAACTTAGGTGGTCTATTGATACTGTTTATTTGATTTTTTCCGTCGTCCGTTAACATTTAAACATTTTCAGCTTCTTCTCTGCAACTGCTCAACTAATGTTGCCACAAAGCATTTATGGGTTAAGGGAAACAAAAATTTTGAATTCCACGGCCCCTGCCATCCTGGCCCTCCTGAGCCCTAAGAGGTGCGACCAAAACCACTGATATAAATGCAATCTTTTGAAAAATACTCTTCTTTACTCTTGGACATCAAGCAGTCAAAGTGTTGGCGTAATTGTAATTAGCATTGAGTCCTCTACCAAAATTGTGAAATTCATGGCCTCAGGATCAGGGATTATAGTGCTAGGGTGGGATAAATATTTATATAGCGAAAATGCACTATTTATTTTAAAATCTTCTTCTCTGCTCCTTGGCATTTAATAAACTAACTAAGTACATAGATATGATAAGCAAGAATGTATCTTCAAAAATTGTGAATTTCATGACCTATGGGCCGGGGGTTTTTGTGTTAGGGTGGAGCTCTACTGATTATACATGTATAGTGAAAATACAGAATTCTTTGAAAATTTTCTTCACGATCTGCTTCTGGGTGTTAAACAAACTAAATAAGTACATAATTATGATGAACAAGAGTGCCTCTTCTAAAACTGTGAATTTTATGGCCCCTGGGTCAGGGTTTTTTTGTTTTTTTTGGTGGGGGGTGGTTACTTAGTCTGAAAATAAATTAATGCTTCGAAATCTGCTCTTTGGTATTAATTTATCATTTCTGATGAAGTAAAATACATGTATATTTCCAAAATTTTGAAATATGTGGCCCCAGGGTCAGTGGTTACTGTGGGGTGGGGTGCACAACTGGTGATAAAGTGGAAGTTAATGCGATCTGCCTCAGAGTAATAAGTAAATAGAGCAAGCATGCTAAGAATATAATTATGACAAACAATAGTGCCACTTTCGAAATTGTGAATTTCATAGCTTTTGGTTTTAAACAGGAACTAAATTCAACTGTTTGAAAGTTGTTACATGATATTCAGGTGATCTATATGGCCCGTGGTCCTCCTGTCTTGATATTAGCATCAATAAACCCTTTTCAAAGTTAAAAACACGTGTATTTCACCAACAATTTCCAATTGCCAACGAGTACATCACTATAAATTGACATACATGCAAACTTTAATTGAAACATTCAAATTTTGGTAGAGGATTAAAAGGTACTCGGGACCTTGAACATATAAAATGCATTTTGGGCGAGTTTTGACCAAAGTAGATTCATTTTCAATTTTTTCTAGTTTAATTTACATATAAATTACACGCTTCTTATGAGTCTTCGGAACGGCATTATTGAACCAGAAACAAGTTAAGTATTGGGACTTTAAATTAGACATAAATATTCTGTTCTGTTCTTTACCCCGATGAAAAAGATTGGAGTGTACATTTTCATTTTTTAAAAAGAAATTATTATGCAAAATGCATGTTTTTAACCAATTTGAGAATATTATCTATTATTGTTCAATAAAATCGATCACTGTATATAAAATAAAACAAAAGAATATTAATCAGCTTACCTTGGTTTATTCTCAGCCTCAGCATCAAAAATGCATGTGGTGCATTGAACAAACGGAGTTAAACTTGGGCGTGAAGACGCGCAATGAAACAAGTTGCTTCCCTTTTGTAAGCGCACTTTAACTCAGTAATTAATTTTTATAAGGCAAAAACTGAATATTAAAAAAAATATTTTATACAAGTAGTATTAAATTACATTCATATATTAAGAAATTAACTTATTCAAGATGTATTTTCTATTTAAAATCAGGAACAGAAAAAATAGCTTTTCATCATTAAGAGAATTTTGTTTTCTGTAAATTTATATTTTATTTATATTTAAATTTATATTTTAACAAAGTCCTTGTAATATTTTAGAACTTCCGGAAGTCAGTGCTGTATATAGGTAAATGTCTAAATATCACGAGCCTGAGGTATACATGAATATTTATGAGGTGAATCTAAAGAAAAAAAGGAATCCGATCTATCATTTTATTCCCGGAATTTTTTCATTCATATACACACATATTATTACAAAGCTAATTGTAGTCCTTGACATAGGAAAATTTTGATCACAAAAAGGGAAAAGTAATTTGCACAATGTATTCTTTTGTATTGTTTTCATTTCAATAAATTTTTGACTCGATTGAGAATAAGTGCTCACAAATTACAGATAGAGGTTGGCAGATATTGTAACCCAATTATACCAAGAGATGAAAGATTTTGTATTAATTGTAAAAATGTCGTTGAAGATGAACATCATTTTTTATTTGTATGTCCTCTATATAAACAACTAAGAAGTGAATTTTGTACACTTTTTAATAAAACCTGTATATCTTATGAAATTCTTAATCCAGCAGATGTTAATTCTACAAGGAATATTTGTAAATTCATACGTGATGCATGTAATATAAGAAAATCTATGTGACTATATATTTTATATTTGTTTACTGTATGTATGACTTGCGCCACATGTGGTTTTTGTCAAATTGAATAAATAAAATAAAAAAAAAATAAATAAATAAATACATCGCGATCACGGGCGCCTGTGAGCTCGATCATGAGCTCATATCCTATTGAAAAAAATGTATGGGTCATTGTATTCAAGAAGATTTATTACTTAAATTAAACTATATTCGTTGATATTTTGATTATTATTTGTGTAACAATAACAACACGATTTAATTAAATAATCCGACTAATTCTTGTCCGAATTATTTTGAATGATTTCGCGCGCGTTCCTAATGTAAACAATCCCATGCCATCATGTCGCACATTGCTACCAAAAGTTAGAATCGTTTATTGAAAATTTAGAGCGGGACACAACATCGCGGTTCATCACACAGAGGATAAGTAACAAAAGTCACTTCAGTTTGCAACCCGGAGGTAAGATTTACTTGCTGTGAATATTACTTAAATGGAGGCTACATGACATACAGCTACAAAGAAAATAAACTCTTGCCAGTCTTGGGTCCAAAAAAAAATTACATTTATTGAAACTTAAAGCATCTATAGATCTTAATAGTAAAGTTATAAATTTACATGTATTCAGTACAATTACTAAAAAACAAATCTTAATTCACACTGCATTTAAAGTTCACACAGTTCTGTCACTTAAACGATACTTACAAAATAGGTAAGAGATCAGTACCCTAGGCTATTGATACGGTCTACCGAGTACTACAGGACAGGTAAGAGTCCAGTACCCTAGGCTAGGCTATTGATACGGTCTCCCGAGTACTACAAGTCAGGTAAGAGTCCAATACCCTAGGCTATTGATACGGTCTACTGAGTACTACAGGACAGGTAAGAGATCAGTACCCTATGCTATTAATGCTGAGTACTACAGGACAGGTAAGAGACTAGTACCCTTGGCTATTGATACGGTCTACCGAGTACTACAGGACAGGTAAGTGACCAGAACCCTAGGCTATTGATACGGTCTACTGAGTACTACAGGACAGGTAAGAGATCAGTACCCTAGGCTATTGATACGGTCTACTGAGTACTACATTACAGGTAAGAGATCAGTACCCTAGGCTATTGATATGGTCTACCGAGTACTACAGGACAGGTAAGAGTCCAGTACTCTAGGCTATTGATAGAGTCTACCGAGTACTACAGGACAGGTAAGTGACCAGAACCCTAGCCTATTGATACGGTCTACTGAGTACTACAGGACAGGTAAGAGATCAGTACCCTAGGCTATTGATACGGTCTACCGAGTACTACAGGACAGGTAAGATTCCAGTACCCTAGGCTATTGATATGGTCTACCGAGTACTACAGGACAGGTAGAGTCCAGTACTTTAGGCTATTGATACGGTCTACTGAGTATTACAGGACAAGTAAGTGACCGAACCCTAGGCTATTGATATGGTCTACCGAGTACTAGAGGACAGGTAAGAGTCCAGTACCCTAGGCTATTGATACGGTCTACCGAGTACTACAGGACAGGTAAGAGACCAGTACCCTAGGCTATTGATGCGGTCTACCGAGTACTACATTACAGGTAAGTGACCAAACCCTAGGCTATTGATACGGTCTACTGAGTACTACAGGACAGGTAAGAGTCCAGTACCCTAGGCTATTGATACAGTAAACCGATACTACATGATAGGTATGAGATCAGTAAGCTAAGCTATTGATACGGTCTACCGAGTACTACAGGACAGGTAAGAGACAGAACCTTAGGCTATTGATACGGTCTACCGAGTACTAGAGGACCGATAAGAGTCCAGTACCCTAGGCTATTGATACGGTCTACCGAGTACTACATTACAGGTAAGTGACTGAACCCTAGGCTATTGATACGGTCTACCGAGTACTACAGGACAGGTAAGAGATCAGTACCCTAGGCTATTGATACGGTCTACTGAGTACTAAGACAGGTAAGAGTCCAGTACCCTAGGCTATTGATACGGTCTACCGAGTACTACAGGACAGGTAAGAGACCAGTACCCTAGGCTATTGATACGGTCTACCGAGTACTACAGAACAGGTAAGAGACCGAACCCTAGGCTATTGATACGGTCTACCGAGTACTACAGGACAGGTAAGAGTCCAGTACCCTAGGCTATTGATACGGTCTACCGAGTACTACAGGACAGGTAAGTGACCGAACCCTAGGCTATTGATATGGTCTACCAAGTACTACAGGACAGGTAAGAGACCGAACCCTAGGCTATTGATACGGTCTACCGAGAACTACATTACAGGTAAGTGACTGAACCCTAGGCTATTGATAAGGTTTACCGAGTACTACAGAACTGGTAAGTGACCAGAACCCTTTCAAATGTTTAGAATAAAAAGTTTGTGATTTACAATTACATTTGCATTTTTTATATTGAAAATTATGTCACACTTTTTAAATGTTACATTTTAGATGTTTCATCTTTAAATGGTCACAAAATTCTTTGGCAAGATTGTCAAGAAACAGTTAGTCCTTCTGTTGAATTTGATGGCACTCCTTACATCAACATAGGATGGATGGTAAAAGAATGTCACCATGGACCAGATAGACAGAGGAGAGCAAAGGAGAAAAAAAAACAAAGATGTGTAAGTTGTCTTGCTTTTGAAGTACTAACAGATTTTGTTTTTTATAAAATCAGATTGAAATATATTTTGATGAAGTGAAATGTTTGTGGCAGGAGAAAAAATAATTTATTGAAGGGAATTTCAGTTCTTGGAGGATTGTAGAGTAATAAACCATTTAAAATTTTCATAAAAAGTAATAATTTGTATGCATTATTTAATTACTGTAAACCAACTTTTATTTGCATTCTAGAAATTTTTGCGAAGTTCACGAGAGCCTAGTCATTGCCAATATTTCTCGCAACGAACAGGTTCTTAAAGTCTATATGTGTCTATTAACAAGAGAACCTAAAAAGGCCAGGTCGTGAAAAATAAGTCGCCAACTAGTTTACCCCTGGTAAATCGCGAAATAATGTTTTCCCGAATAAAATTTGGTTTACAGTAAATGATAAATGACAATGTTTTTTAATCAACAAACCTTGAAGAGAACTGTAGAAATATAACTGAAATATACCGTATAAGTGGAAATTTTAGCGAGACGCAAATTTAGCGATTTTTCCTTAAAAACTAGTATTTTATTTTAGCGATATTCAATTTTAGCGATTTGAAAATGGTCACTGAAGAAGCTATTGCAAATAAAAACAATTCATTTTTAGCGATATTCAATTTTAGCGATCTCAGCACCCTCGCTAATAATGCCAAAATTAAATCTTCGCTAAAATTTCCACTTATACGGTATGTACCCGGTATTGTAAATATAGATAACTTGTGATTGAGAGATCTTTAATAGTTACTGTATACAGGGAAATTTTCATCCTGTTTTATTTTTGCCCGTTTTGCCTTACCCTTATTTGAACAAATTTAAAAAGGGGTGAATTCAAGGAATTACATAATGATTGCTATAAAAACTATGACAGGGCGAATTTTAAATGGAGCAAAATTGTTCACAAATGTAAAAGGGCAAAAAATACATGGGGCAAAATAACCCTGTAATTACAGTATGTTTGTCTGATACATGTAATTGTTGTATGTAATCTTTCATAAAAAAAATTACTTGAAAAATAAAAATTAACATATAGACAAGTGGCTTAATTATGAAAAAAAAATTAAGTGTTTGGATGTTTAAAAGAAATTTATGGACAGTATTTTTATTAAGTACTAATCTTGCACAGTTATAAGGTAAGTTAATAAATAATTTAAAAAAGAAGATATACAATATTTCCACCAAATATTTGGTACTGCTCAATATTAAAAGTAGATCACAAACTTATTGTAAGTGATTTATTGTCATTGATAGAAACCTGGAGACCATGATTACTCTAATAAAGGAAAAGCACGTAAGAAAATCCAAATGTCTAAAAAGCAAGCTTGTCCAGCAACAATAAGAATAAGAGCCATCATGAAATTCCCTGATTTCAAGGTAAATTTTTCATTTTTTCATATATACATAATTTGGATAGTACTGCTTTGGGTCTTTAAATACATATCATATTTATTTGTCTTTTTTAGGTAGATTCATATAACAACAAATTGATGAAAAGGAAGATATCTAGAAATCTCAAACAAGCTTTTGCGAACAGAGACACAATTCAAAAATCCCTTGTTTATTTGGTGTCATATCCAAGTGTCAAAGACCACAAGAACCACCTTACTGGAGAGGTAAGTGTTAATCATCAGTAACCAGAATTCTAGATACTTTGTATACTATATTACAATATTTCATTTTCAGAATAAATTTTCTTTTTGAATTATTAAAAATAGTACAAAATTTTTCCCTTGTAGTTTGCAGGATTTACTCAGCGCATTGATCCGAGATTAGTTACACGCATAAAAGAACTTGTAGCTGATGGGGTGAGAAATGTTTCTGAAATGAAGAGACACCTACTAATCTCTGTGAAAAATGACTTATGTCCAGATGAGGATATTCCCAGAACTAACAGAAGATTTTTTCCATTGGACAAGGACATTAAAAACCACATGGATATTGCCATTAACAGCTTGAGGTACTGAATTATAAATGTTCCTAATTTGTATTTCGTATGTAAACTTAAGAGTAAGTAGGATTATTTACCTTTCATCAAAGGTCGACTTAAGCAAGAATATATATTTCTTTAATTATGAGGTTTTATTCATTAAAAATTTCCATTAGTATATAAGCAACTGAATCCCAGATTCTGATGTGCAATAATGAATGATTGCTTCTAGGTTTTCCAAAGATGACCAGCTGAACCTCGAGTCTCTGGTGGAGACCTGGCAAGAGAGTAATCCAGAGGACAACTTCTTCCTTAGGACATCGTAAGTTTATCAAAAGTTTCAAACCTAATTGCTTCTGATAAAATGATGTAGAAGTTTCCTTTGTATGTATTAGGGATATATTTTTCAAACACAGATATGATACCACTACCCATGGAGACATTCCATCAGAGGACTTTCTGTTTGTTCACCAGACCACCTGGCAAAAACGTCTCTTAAACTTGTATGGGAGAGACATTTGCATCATGGATGCCACATATAAGACCTCAAAGTATGCCCTTCCTCTTTTTTTCATTTGTGTGCAAACTAATGTTGGGCATTCCATTTGTGGTTCTTTTGTTGTTGTGACCGAAACAAAAAAGTCTATTCAGGAGGGCTTAAAAAAAATTAAGGAATGGAATCCGGGATGGAATCCTAGCTATTTCATGACTGACTATGATGAAAGGGAAATCCAAGCAGTTGAGGAAGTATTTGAAGGTAAAAAAAAAAATATGTACCCCAGTATATTATGGTGATATTCTACAAGTGTATTTTATCACATTGTAAACCAAATATTTTAATCACTGAAATCCTATGATATTATGTTTAATTAATGAATTGCTTTTTTAACAGACTGTACTGTATATCTGTGTTCTTTTCATCGTGAACAATCATGGACACGGTGGTTGAAACAGATAAAGCATGGCATTGGTTCAAATCAGGATGAGGTTATTGAACTGTAAGTGTACACATGTGATTATTGTACCCAGTAATTTGTTTCATATTTAATTGTGTGTGTATTTTCTCTTTTGCATATATTTTTTTTAATTATTGTAATGCAAAATTCTAAAGAGAATGATTCATGGTAAAATTAATTGGAAAATGTGCATTGTTTAAATATAATTATTTTTTTTTTTGCTTATACTTTTTACAGAATGAGAGGAATAGCTAATGCCAATTCTGCAACAGAATACAAAGAAGCTGTAGGCAGCCTTAAAGAAAGCATTCATTGGCTGAACAATCAACAACTGAGGAAGTGGTTTGACAAACAGTGGCTATCAGTTTCACATGTAAGATTTAATGGAAAATTGTAGTATACAATCTTTTCAAGGTATAATCTCTATAATGAAAATAATCATAATGGGTGTTAAAACTTATTAAGAAAATACAGCAAAACTTGTTTAGTACAAATAAGGATGTAGAGCCAATTCATGGATACAGCAAAGTTATTTTTAATTGGATCCCCAGCTTAATAAATTTATCGAATTCCTTATGCGGAAATAACAAATTACAGGTATAGGGAAGTATTTCCTTAAGTGACTTTGTTATAACCCAGATTTACTGTAGCAAGATTTTTTATTCACAAAAAATAATGTTGTCAAATTGGACAATATTTAGTAACCTGGTTACTGTCTTCATCTTCCGATTGAGTACTAATCGAAACAATATGATCCATTACAATGTAATCAATAGATCAACAGTACCTAAAATTAGTGAAATGTTTTACATGTAGCTAGTACTCGCAGTGTTCGACGATTAAAAAGGTACTCATTGACAACATCAAAAAATGCAATGATTCTCTAGTTTTCATTATTTTTTCTTAACATAAATTTTTTTTTATTTAACACTGATTTTTAGCTCACCTGAGCCAAAGGCTCAAGTGAGCTTTTCTGATCAAAATTTGTCCGTTGTCTGTCGGCGTTGTTGTTGTCGG